TGCACCTGAAAGCGATGACGACGACGTGCAGGAAGTAAATACCAAAAAACACCATGGCACGAACGTCACATGACTGCAACTACTCAGCCTACACACCGCCACAACCAGCGTCCCACGTATCATTGAGCCAAAGAACCCAAGACAGGCTCTAACAAGACCTCACGCCAAGGAGTTGTGTGCAACCATGGATACAGCGTTGAAGGCGTTGGAATCACGGGACACGTGGGTCCTATTTGACCGCGCAACCGTGAAGGGGAGTGGGTATTCCGTGTGAAAACCGCCGCCGATGGAACTATCGAACGCTTCAAAGCTAGGTGGGTCGTACGCGGGTATGATCAGTGCCACGGCATCGATTTCGATCAGACTTTCGCCCACGTGAGCTGTCACACCTCAGTGCGCACCCTACTTGCCATCGCTGCTGCAAGGCATATACCACTACGTCAGATCGACGTAAAGAACACGTTTCTGTACGCGCTGGTCGATGCCACGATTTTCATGGAGCAGCCACACACCTACGAGGAAGGAGATCTAAGGGTCTGCTAGCTGAAGAAATTCCTTTACGGGATCAAGCAGGCGCCACGACTGAGGCAACGGCATCTGCACAAAATTCTGCTCGAGATTGGTTTCAAGCAGCTGCCGCATGACCCCGGGATTTATCGCCTTCACTTCAGCGGCGTCTACATTCTTATAACAGTGTACGTCGATAACCTGATGTACACAGGAACGAACAACGTGCTACTTGATCAGTTCGAGAAGAACCTAGCACAACGCGTCGATATAATTATCCACCATAACGTAACGTGGTTTCTGGGGCTCAACATCTCGTACGCACCAGAAGCCATTCATCTCTCACTTCAAAGTACGTGGAGCAACTGATATTATTTGTTCTTTATTATAATCACTTCAATCAATTTCATTCACGCTGATATGAGGTCACTACTTCCGTTGCAATCAACCCTGAACCGATCCTTGACTAGGTCCCCCTTGGGATTGTAACACTCAATACGAGGCTAATGCGTGAGAGTCACACCCTTGGGAAAGTAGTAATCTAACGTTGTTTTTTTTTTTTTTTTTTTTTCGACAGGCACAAACATTTCGTTTGAAGAGACATACGAACTAAAAAAATAATGTGCGGTATGTTATATGATACTATTACCGGCACTGTAACACAACCTTCTTCAATAATGTAACAGTTAGGAGTGTAGGTAGTCTCGTGACTATTCGCGTGATGCTGCAGTAGAAGCACCCTTCATGAGTGAAGAGTCTCTAATTGCTTGATTAGTGAACAGGTAAATTCTGAACAGGCACTTTCCTTTGTATCTTTCTTGAAGGTGCAAACAAATTGCAGTATCTAATAGCTCTATTAGTGAACAGGTACATCTCTGAATATGTACTTTCATTTATGTGCATACAAATCATGTAACGAACAAACCACCAAAATAGTGCACCAGAATGTTCTCAACAACCACCTAAAACCAACGAAAAGATTTGTGCCTAAGCGCACAGATATTGCGCATGCAGTGTACCGCCCCCACCAACTCTTCCACTGGAGTCACATAAAACCCCGGGCGCGTTACATTCCGATAATAAACCTGGTTTTGAAAGAATTCATTATTCATCTTTTCTAAAAGCTCTTTCATTACGTGTATAGTTGTGTTCAAGCCAGGAGGACCGCCCCTGTAACACCCTGTAACGTGACACTTAGTGTAGTACGACGTTTCCACATCCTCAATAAAGTACGTCCCTCCAGGCTGCTGAAATTCAATGAGGATGTGACGCAAATGAAGGTGGGAAAGGGAGGCACAGCTCTTAAGAACATATACCACATCCTCCTTGATACCTATGTCGTTGAGATTCAATAAGGATGGGAGGCAAAGGAGGGTGGGAGAGACGGTGGAGGGAACGAGAAGGGAATTTGAAAAGGAATGGAAGCGAATCGAGATGGAAAGGTGAAAGGCAACCTCAGGTTGTTTCGGCTTATTGCATCAGTATGACCCTCCATGCTATGGAAATATGGGAAGAAGAATAATCTATTGGAAAAGGGTGACATGAAATATGGGAGAGGTGCCGCTAGAGGGAACGCGAGGGGAGGAGGAGAACGAATGCAGTACATATACGTACATATGCATAAATATGTATGTATATAAATACTGTAGAGAGGGGAGGAAAGGGTAACAATTGCAGGTAATGTAAGCTTGATAACTCTTGAATGATTTTGCCAAGCTACCTTGACAAGTGGCAGGAGTTGTTTGAGGAATGTCTGTTGCTGATCCATGGTGTGACCACCGTCGTCCACTATGAAGTCAAGCAGACCCACCTGAAACGAGTCACAACTCAATAACGAGAAAAAAGTTGATACAATAACAACAAAAGAGTCGCAACACCATAACGAGGGCATGGGTAGGAAAGTAGAGCAGAATGACTGAAAGTTTCTAGGGCACCTATATGAGATACATAAACACCATGCCATGCACACCCTACCATGCACACACCATGCACACACTATCATGCACACCCTACCATGCACACCCTAATATGCACAACATACCATGCACACACTACCATGCACACCCTACCATGCACACCCTAATATGCACACCATAGTATGCTCACCCTACCATGCACACCATACAATCCACACCCTACCATCTACACGATACAATGCACACAATACCATCCACACCATACACTTTCAGTCAGCATACCCATCAGTGCCATCTCCACTACCTCACAATATGCAGAACCATCCCATTGCCGGTCATGCCACACATAAACCCCTTCTCACCATTCTGTCACACACCAATACCGCCACTCTCTTTATCACAACCAACTATCCTCACCACTCCGTGTCTCAGCCACAACTCCTCACCGCACTGTTCATCTCAGCCACCACTCCTCACCGCACTCCGTATCTCAGCCACCACTCCTCATCGCACTTTTCATCTCAGCCACCACTCCTCACCGCACTCTTTATCTCAGCCACCACTTCTTACCGCACTCTTAATCTCAGCCACCACTCCTCACCGCACTCTTAATCTCGGCCACCACTCCTCACTGCACTCTTAATCTCAGCCACCACTCCTCACCGCACTCTTTATCTCCGCCACCACTTGCTCCAGGATTGTCCCATCCGCCTGGTCGCCCACCACAAGCCGCACCCGTGGGTCCCGCGCCTCCGCCTGGTGCTTCTGTGGAGATGCGGACATGGGGGATAGGCATAGGATGGGCAAGAGTTGGGCATAAACTCAGCCGCACCCGCTGGTCCCAGGCCTCTGCCTGGTGCTTCTGAGGTCATGAGGGGCGTAGAGGATGGGGACGAGGGATAAACATGGTCAGGAGTCAGGAAAGATAAGATTTCAGCTGCACCTGCAAATCCTGCACCTTTCCCTGGTGCTTCTGAGGCCATGAGGGGCGTAGAGGATAGGGATGGGGGATAAACAAGGTCAGGAGGTGGGAAGAGAAGCCATCACCCGCATCTGCGGGTTCCGTGCCTCTGCCTGGTGCTTCTGCGGCAACAGAGAAGCGACGAGGACAGAGGATGGACGTGGAATAGACAAGAAAATGAGTGTAGATGGGGAAGGAAAGCTGCGCCTGTCCCTGGTGCTTCTGGATTTGAAAAGCTTTACAAAACATGGTGCCCTACGTATAACACACCACAAAACTGAACGCCTAACACTTGAACAAGGACTTTCTCTTCCGTTGCCGTGACTTGAACCCGGGTCTCTCAGGTGAGAGCCGAGTATCCTAACCAGAACTACAACGGAGATGTTAGGCTGACACATTTGCTTACACTGGTGAGTTTCTGAATCCACATCATTGCAAGCCCTATGGAAGGTTCAGCTTGAAAGGTTCCATGCGCCTTGACTTTTGAGACGTCTCTTAACTAAGCTCGTATTATACTGCTTTCCCATCCGCCTCGTCCTGCCACCACTGCTAACCTGCAGCTGGTGAGTTGCTGCTTGAGTGGACCAGCAGTTTCCCTCGTTGTCCCACTCCCACTTGCTCACCCACTTTGTTTCCCCCGCCACTTGCCAACCGTTTCACCCACTTTGTTGGAATGAAACTTACAGTGGTCCTTCTCGCCTTGTCTCCTCTCCCTTCTACCATTATCCCTCTCCCTTTATCTCATCTCTCTATCCCAGGTAACCCTTACAGGTATTTGTGGGAGACAAATTAACCTACTTTGCTGGAATGACACTGGCCGTGGTTGGCATTTTGGGACACTTCAGGTGACTGCTTCAGTGCAGTAGCTTGTGCTTATCAATCTCCTCTGCTCCTTTTATCATTATTCGAATTCCTCGTTTCAGTTGAATCAATAAATCCCTTGCCAATCCATATTGACCTCTCTTATCCTTTCTGCATTGCATTGTCTGCTACCACCCTATCCCCCTCCACTGTCTCACTCACTCTTCCCTTCTCTTTTTCTCTTCCATCAGTGAGACACTCCTGTTTCTCTTTCTCCCTCAGGTCATCAATTTCATCTACTCTCTTCCCCAAGTGAGTTGCCATTTTTGAGAATTTCCAAAATGATTTTGTTCCACAAGCGTGTTGTCCATGTCGATTTCCTCAATAGACTTAGAAACGCCTGCCCGAAATATGGCCTGCCCAAGTTCATCTATGCATCCTTTTCCCTCGTCCCTTCTCCCCTCCTGCACCCCTTCCCTCCCCATCCCGCTCACCCCTCCCCTTGCCCCTCATGCCGACCCTTCCTCCCATCCCTTGTCATCCCTTCTCAACTCTTCAAGTTCATGCCGTGCCCAAGACATCGCCTGCCCAAGTGAGTACCATGCGTTTGCACTCCCTTTCCGTGAAACGGGTCGTCTCAATTTGAATGAGAGCATGTTCAAAGAAACGTCAAGGCCTTGTTGGTCTTGACACGCCAGCGTTGGTGGTTCTCGTAAAGCAACTTGGCTACCTCCGCTGAGGTCGTTGCCACGATGCATTGCTGCTTGGCAAGAGAGTTGAGTCCTTCTCCCTCTTCATACCCTATTCCCCTCCAGGTTCGATCTGACCACCCACCGCAGCACTCAATGTGGTCAACCCTGCTTCACCGTCCCACCCCTCTCCCCTCTCCCTCATGCTCCCTATCCTCGTACTTTGCTCCCCCCACCAAGTTCGACCCGGCCACGCACCGCGTGACAGGCAGCAACGACCTCAACCTGGTTAACCTTTTCAGTCTCACCCTCTCTCTCACACCCCTTTCCCCTCTCTGCCTACGCCCTTCCCCACACCAGTTTTGACCCGGCCACCCATCGCCTGACAGGCAGCAACCACCTCAACCTGGTCAACCACTTCCTGCGCGTCTTTGGCTTGTGCACAGAGGAACAGCTTTACATTCGCCTCCTGCTCTTCCATGTATTCTCCTTTTCTTTATCTCTTCGCCGTTTGCAAATGACCGAATATAGGCATGCGTAGGGGCGAGCACAGGGGTGTGGCTTTATTTTCTCCCCCACTCCATCCCACGCTTCTCTTTTCTCCCTTCTCCCCTTCCCCCATTGTGCTTGATACCCATATGTATCCCTTTCAGGCCATTGGGGGCCACTGCATGGCATTGCACACAATTGTCGAGCATTGGTGCATGATCTCTTCACCATTGAGCTCCTCCCCTGTGCATGTCCCAAAAAAAAAACCTTCACTTTCCCTTCCCCATTCTCCTCCTCTTGCACCTCTCTCCCTCCTCTTTTTGATGTTTCCTCCCCTTCTCTCTCCCATCCCTTGCAGGTCCTTTCTGCAATTCTCTGCTTCACTGCTTGTTTATTCCTTACAAGGCGTGTATAAATGAAGAAGTGCAACCAGAGACTATAATATGTGTTGCAACTTTCTAGATATTAACACATTTGCACATGTATAATGCTGGTTTGTCCTGGTGGGAATGAACCTGAGGTCGTCAGAAGGTCTTTATAAACCTGGTGGTCAGGAACAAATAGAAAATGTTGTCTCAAATCAGGTTTCTTTGGTTGGGGGGCTACGGTATTAGAGACCAGACCAACACCTCACTAATTCGCTGTTGAGTAGATTTAGTATTTTTGTAAGGAAGGCATTCTGTAATGTAAAAGGTTGTATGTTTGCAAGCTGGTACAGTACGACCATGCACTCCCCTCGCCTCGCCAACCAACCAGCCGTGAAGTTCTACACAGGATGCTCAACGACTGCACGCGAATTTGGTCCGCCCAAGCTCGATAGCCTGCCCAATTGCAAGTAGTACCAGCCAGTTGCACGCACGATACAAGCCCCTATTTTGATCGCAGCCGTTGAATAGACAGCTTATCACGCTGGCATCCGTCCGTTCGTGAGATATTTTGAAGAAGCTGGTTACATTTCTTCACCTGCCCACTACAGTCCCGATTTTGCCCGTGGCGAATGTTGGCGAGGAAGCGAAATAGGGTTGCTCACTAAACACCCAAATGACGGGAGGAGTTGTGGGAGTCAAACGCGTTTCATGTGTACTCTCCACTTTTGGCGGCAAGTTCTGTAGAAAAAATAGTGTTTTTTTTTTTTTTTTAGGTAATTGATATGTACACTGATAGAGCAAGCATACATAATCAATAACAGTCGTAACTATGCATGAGGGGCGCCCACGTGGCCACCCCAGGTGCAGCATCTATGGAGGTCGGTGAGTCACCCTCGGTGCAAGCCAGATATTCGAGAAAGCCTTCGTCCACGTCCACGACTTGCAATTTTTGTCCCTGATCCGAAACAGTAGCTTGTCCTCTCCCTCTTTGATGCGACGAAATTTCTCCTCTTGTTGCGTGCCCTGACATTTCCGCCATTGCGCATCCCTCAAGCGCATGTAGATCCTTGCATGCAGACGGAAGGTCGTTTCTATGTGACGGAGAACCCGCTTCATCCGGAACCTTTCCCCCCTGAAAGCCGCATCACAGCACCCACCCACAGCTGATGTAAGGCAATCGATGTGATCGTGGCCTCCGGAAAGGCCGTGCTGGACCCCGCCTTCCTAGCAGATCCCCCAATGACTCCACCGCCCGTGAGCCGTTCATCATGCGGAGCGTTTTTTGAAGCGCGGAGGTCACTGTCTGAATTTTGGGGCAGATGTATAGACAGTGTTCAAGGGTTTCAACACCCCCACGGTACGGGCAGGCCGGTCTGCTGCTCAAAAAGGCTACTCTCTCCCCCACTTGCAGATTCAGGTTGTGGATGCGCAGCAGAACGTCCCTCGGTCTGCTTGGAACGACCAGAGAATCCCGGATGGCAATGGTCTTTTTCCAGTCGATCTTTCCATTCCATCTGCCCTTCCACAGTATCTGCTTCGTAGATGGTTTTTGCCCCTCATTCCAGAGTAACTTCAACCGCTTCAGTGGCGCAATCCCCCCGTTCTCAAAGATGGGGAAGTCCGTGAGCTTGCGCCCTGCCGAGAGTTACACGCGCCGAGAGCCAGCCGAGTTGAGCGCACACATCCCCTGACTGGGTGCGCTGAGCAGCAGGTCTTTCCATTTTTGTGGCGCAGCTTCGAACGCCTTCTTCGCCAACTTAGCTGGCCCTTTTCCGCCAAGCTCCCTTTCTAGAGTAATCGCGTCCTTTAGCTCCAGAGTGCCGTTGCCGCCAAGCTTCATCAAATCCCCCAGCCGTTTTTCCCAGAGAGGTTTCGCGTCCTGCTGACCACTGACCGGCGTGGTTCCCTTCAGCAGGAGTCGCTTGTTGAAGACAATCCGCTCACTTGCCACTGCTTCTTGGGTATTCGCCTCAGGAATGTTCCCCAACGGTGTCCTCATGAAATTCTCACATGCCACCTTCCAACGAGCGTTGTTCCCCTCCCAATGTTTTAGCAGCTTCTCATGGGCGAAGAAGGTTTCAATGCCCATGGGTAGATCGGCCGCATGTGTCATCAGATGCAGCTTCAGCTGATTAGTCTCCACCGCCATCAGGCCCACCCTTCTCGCCGTTAAGCACGCCAGAATCATCTCCGGATCTTGTACCCCCACGCCTCCCAGCTTCCGTGGTGTATACAGTAGATCTTTACTCCAGAGTCTAAACCCCTTGTCCGCCGTTGCCTTATTACCGGAGACGAAACTCTGGAACGTCTTGGACACCGTGCCCGACAGCTTCGCAGGTGGCGGGTAGGCTTGCGCCTAAAAAGCTGCTTTCGACATTGAGTAGCTGTTGATCACCGCTGTCCGTGCCGTCGTTGGGAGGTAATTCTGCTGCCACTTCTTGACCTTCCCCGATATGTCCTCTGCAGTTTTCTCCCATGTTGGCAGGCTGTGAAGAAACGAGGAGTGAATGAACTAGCACAAGGTTGGGTACAAGTAGGAAACCCTAGGAAACTGTACCCCATAGTGTCTATCCCACTATAGCCTAGACAAGCTATATGATATAAGTTTGATACACCCCCATAGGCAAAGTGGGGGAGAACAAGAGGTCACAAGACCAGTCAAGCAAAGCAAAGCAAGCTCAGGGTGGATCACAACGTCACCACACAATCCGAGCACAAGAGCAAGGCCACAAGGCCAGTTCACATGCAAGATAATATATAAAGGTAAACAGGCAAGTGCAGGTATAGAAAGATCACAGTACAAGAAGTGAGCAAGTGAGGCCAAGTAGGCACAAGACCTAGCATAGTACAGAAGCGCTGATGATCACCAGGCGGAAGTGCCTTGGTAAAGATATCAGCAGTGTTGGCCTCAGAGGCCACGTAAGCAAGGCGCAGCTGACCACGCTGCTGCAGCTCACGAGCAAGGAAGTAGCGGAGAGCAATGTGCTTCGTTCTGTGCTCCATTCTGTGCTCCTAACACAAGGCCAGCATGGCCTTGTTGTCTACGTACAGAACTGGAGGAGAACGAGGCGGCTCTCCTAGGTCAGTCAGCAGGTAGGTGAGCCAGCGTAGCTCCTGTGCAGCCATGGCCCCCGCGTAGATCTCAGCCTCACAGCTGGAGCCGAGAACAGAAGACGAGCGGGTAGACCGCCACGAAACAGAGCCGGAGCCAAGGCTGAAGGTGTAACCCTGTGACGACCGCTGCGTAGCCTGGTCGTCAGCCCAAGAAGCGTCTGCGTGACCTGTGAGGACCACTCGACGTCGCCCTCCAAGCACTAGCCCCATGCCCGACGTACTGCACAAGTAGCGCAACACCCTCTTCGCTGCAGCCATGTGCTCTGGTCGGTGTCTCCCAGGAGCAACATAGCGTGCCAAGATGCTAAGAGGGTATGCAAGGTCAGGTCGTGTGCAGGTCATCAGGTACATGAGGCAGCCAACAAGCTCTGGGTACGGGCCACTCAGCTCTACGGACTCATCCGAAGGCAGAGCTGAGAGCGAGTGGCGAGTAGACAGAGGAGTGGCCTGAGGCGAGGAGTACGTGAAGTCGAAGCGCTGAAGGACCTGCTGCACCATGTGTGACTGAGTCAGGATAATGGTGCGCTGTGCTCTGTCCCGGGTGATCTGCAAGCCAAGGTAGCTGCGCAGTTCACCCAGGTCTGTGCACGTGTGTCTCTTCTGCAGCTCGGACTTCACGTGGGCGAGTCCAGCAGTGTCAGCAGTGGCAAAGACCAAGTCGTCGACGTACACGAGGATGTAGAACGGCGGCAAAGAGGTGTCGGTGCGCAGAAACAGCGACGGGTCGGCTGTAGAAGGAGCAAACCCAAGAGCCGCAAGTGTAGTCCTCAGTGTGTCGTGCCACTCACGGGGCGCCTGGCGGAGACCGAAGACTGGCCGCCGGAGGCTCCACTGGGTACCAGGAGGAAACGACCCAGTGAAGCCAGGTGGGCGGCGCAGCCAGATCTCCTCGTGCAGGCTGCCCTGCAGGAAAGCAGTGCTGAAGTCAAGAGAGTGAAGCTCGTAGTCGCGCTGAGCGGCTATATGCAGCAGCACCCAAAGAGTGGTCATCTTCGGGGTGGGAGAGAAGGTCTGAAAGTAGTCAACTCCTTGCCGCTGACTGAAGCCTCGAGCCACGTAACGCGCCTTGAAGACAGGCGGAGAACCCGTCGGCCGCTTCACCCTGAAAATCCACATGCCACTGACGATGTTCGACCCAGGTGGGGGAACCTCGTCGACGTAGGTGCCTGTGGACTTCCAGGAAGCCATCTCTGCGTCCATGGCTGACTGCCACTGAGAGGAGTAGGGACCCTCGATCGCCTCAGCGTACGATCGAGGAGTCGGGATGTCTGGTGCATCCGGGTCTCCCTCAGGGGCAATCAGCGTGGACACGAGATGAGGCAAAGCAGCAGCAAAACACTGGAACTCCTCCTGCCTGTCCTCAAGAACGTCCGTGCTAAGAGCACACTCACCCCC